ACTTTTCCATAAGCTAGCCTGGGCCTCCTGCAGACCACGACACCGCAACACCATCTTTCAATGCCTCCCCATTCAATCGAGACTGTCGTATTACCAACACCCCGTTCTGAAGACAGTATATCTTTATTCCTTCAACTGTTCTCTGCTTCGAAGAAGAAAAATCTGCTTTTACCCTTCCAGTCCCACCCGAAGCTTGTGAACACCTATAGAACCTCTCCTGTAGGGATGTCAAATAAAACCCTTAGAATTACCGAGAAAGCACATTCGGAGAGACGCTTTTCAATGACTCCGCAGTGAGGGCCATATCACTGACATTCCCTCCCAAGCCAGTCTCACTGGAAACGCCTCTGCCTCCAGGGATTTTCCTGCATTCCCACTCCCCAGCCCCGGGCTGAGGGTAAAGACGGCGATGGTCTTTGCCAAAGAATGGGCTTTGGGGAATGGGATCTGGCGGCTACTGCAGACCCCGAGGAACGGCTGAAGCAACCCTACTACCCGAAGTCCCAAAGACTCCGAATAGGTAACCATAATGGCCGCACTCACTCCCAACACCGGGAAAGGTGGACATTTCAACCCCCAAATAGCGGGGGCGACCACAGTGGGGGGAGCGAGGGTCAGGAAATAGGGAGAGATGAGCTCCTTGCGGGTAACAGGGTGACAGAGGGGAGGAAGCCCCGGGCAGCGGAGGCTCCCATCCACACTCCCCCTTCCCTTTCTCCTCCCACCCCTTTTCCTATTCCCACCAGTCGCCGGTTACCGGTCGCCGCTCGCTTGCCCGGGCGCGAGGTGCAGAGGCAGTACAATCCACGAACCCAGAGGCTCTGTCACTGCGGGAGGAGAAGTCTTCAGCTGCAGGGGGGTGGGGAGAGGGCGGGGTCTGCCCGATCACGTGACCGAGAGCCCCGCCCTTCTTCCCCCATTTTGGCAAGCTACACCTTGGGGACTTGTGTTTTAGCGGATCGTCTGAATATCAAATTTCTCGCAATTAAAGAAAAAACTAAACAAATTTTCACAATGATTGTATTGTAAAGTGAAACGTAAAAGGCATGGACGGCAAGCGTTAAAGTGCATTGCTAAGGAAGTGACGTTCATGCCACCATCTAGGGACCGGAAATGGCCATGGAGTTCCGTCCCTCTGGGGTCCGTGGGTAAAATCCCAGGCTGTATGGTTTGGGCAGTCACGTGATCTCAAAACGAGGTGTGCGGGAGGGTAGCCAAGTTATCCGACCGTTTTTTAATTACATTTGTTTTTGAAACCCCTCATTTACTTGAGTGTTCCACAGACTTCTTTACATTTATAAGAACCAAGTTTATAAAACCCTATTAAGAGACAAGAGCGTTTTGAAGGTCACTCTGGTGACTATCGACTGGGAAAGACGGGGTGGGGAAAGATAATCTTGCTGATGTAGGAAAGGAGAGGGAGGAGTGGAACAATCCGGATTTCACCGCTAGGGCCAGCCCTACAAGTACTGTCGTAAGGGGTGGGAGGAGGAGCGTGACTCCTGAAGGCACAACAAATTTCTCGCAATTAAAGAAAAAACTAAACAAATTTTCACAATGATTGTATTGTAAAGTGAAACGTAAAAGGCATGGACGGCAAGCGTTAAAGTGCATTGCTAAGGAAGTGACGTTCATGCCACCATCTAGGGACCGGAAATGGCCATGGAGTTCCGTCCCTCTGGGGTCCGTGGGTAAAATCCCAGGCTGTATGGTTTGGGCAGTCACGTGATCTCAAAACGAGGTGTGCGGGAGGGTAGCCAAGTTATCCGACCGTTTTTTAATTACATTTGTTTTTGAAACCCCTCATTTACTTGAGTGTTCCACAGACTTCTTTACATTTATAAGAACCAAGTTTATAAAACCCTATTAAGAGACAAGAGCGTTTTGAAGGTCACTCTGGTGACTATCGACTGGGAAAGACGGGGTGGGGAAAGATAATCTTGCTGATGTAGGAAAGGAGAGGGAGGAGTGGAACAATCCGGATTTCACCGCTAGGGCCAGCCCTACAAGTAGTGTCGTAAGGGGTGGGAGGAGGAGCGTGACTCCTGAAGGCACAACCCGGTAGAAAGATGGAGGTACCAGAGTGGAGGGGGAAGGGTACGCGGAGACGAGCAGTGCGGCTGCGCGCGAGGCGGCAAACGCGCCGGCGCGCAGAGGGGGTGGGGTGAAAGGTCACAGCGCGGCGGCGGGTCTGGCTGGCTGCTGCGGCGGGCGGGAGGCTAGTGCCCCGTGTGCACGTGTGGAGAAGCGGCAGCACCAGCGAGGCGGCGGGAGATAACCCGCCCCCTCTGGAGACTCAGGGGCGCGCTCGACTCTCGCGGCCTCGGTCACCCGCTCAGCCCACCCTGCCCTAGGCGAGGAGGCCGGCTTGTGGGGTTGAGGGGCCCGAGCTGTGGGCGCGGAGAGCTCAGGGCGGTGAAGACGACGGCGTTGATATCGGTGGTAACGACGGCCTCAGCAGGCGGGGAAGATGAAAGGGTGAGGGGGGCAGCCGGGCAAGGCCCAGCCGGCGGGGAGAGGGGTCGGGCCCATGTCGAGGGAGAGAGCTGCGAAGGAGAGGAGAGAAGAGACTTAGGGTGAAGGTCGGGCGGGGGGAGATTTCTAGGCTTCTCTGTTGACTCCGCTCCCGGAGGGGGCGGAGGCGAGGCTCGGGCTGTTGGCGGGTTGAAGGGCCAGCGGAGGCAAGACCTGGGGAAGCCAGGATTTCGGCCCGGAAGACGAGTGTGGGTTGAGGGGAGACTAGCGGCTGAGTGGGGCAACAAGGGGAAAACTATTGGGAGGCGCCTGGGGCCTCCTACTCGGGAGCGGACGGCTGAGCCACCTCGGCCCGCCACTCCAGGTGTAATGGCTTGGTTGGCCTCTTCTCCAGATTCAGGCTTGACGCTGGAAGGTCTTTGACACCTTTCAGTTTTATTCACACTTGGGAGCTGTGCAGAACGTTCTGGAGGGAGAAGGAACAGGAATAAAGACCATGGGGATGAGTATTAAATGCTAGTGACTCAACTAGATTTGGGTTGGGTCAGAGAGAGTGGAGGAGGGGAAGAGAGCGCGAACACTGTAGATTTGGGGTGCCAAAATGTTTAAGGAAGTACTGTGGATCAGTAGGTGGAGCTATTGCTTTCAGTAGTTTACTGTTGCCCCTGAGTGCTGTGCCAGGGTCCTGGGTTACCACGCTGTCTTTTTCAGGTGATTGGCAAAGATAGTGTTCGGTCTTTCATAGTTTTCCTCTTGGATAACATTAGGAATTATTTTGATTCGACTGTTTCCATTTGGGTAAAATGTCTTATTACCATTAAGTTATATACTGTTAAAGCATTAATTACATAAAATTGTTTTAAAGCATTGCCAAAGTAAACCGTTTTAGAGCTTGTCTTTACCCTCTTGAGAGAAAGAAATGGAAGCTTGTAAATGTTAAGAGCTTTCTAAATGCCTGAATTTTTTTCTATTATTGTAAATCAGTTAAAGAATTGTAACTATGTTTTCAGTTAGTGAAGCCTTTCAAACTGTTGAGGATGAAGTAAAAAGTTCGTTTTGAAAGCACAGTAATCTCATACTCCCTAAAACAAGGGTCTGAATATCGTTGTGTGTATCTGAAGTTGCAGAAGGGATTCCAAGAAAGTTTAATTTGATTTTTGGTCTGTAACATGCTTTCTTACTCTAATTTTGTTTTAAATAGTGGGTATTCATTCTAATGTTTAGAATTGTTTTTTGTATTAAGAATCTTCAGTGTTTAGAAATCATGAAGAAATTTTCCAGTACTTGGATTATTTCACATCAAGTTATGAAGAGTTCCAATTAGGAAACGAATTGAGGGCCATAGAAATATTTGATCCACTTGAATCATGATCTAGGGGAAGTTTGGCTATTTTATATATGATCCAACATATTTGGGGAGTTTTGTTTTTATGGTATACTGTACTGGTTGAGTATGGATGCTGTCTCTTACTCAGTTTTGTATTCTCATTGACAGACAATACCAATGCATATTTGTCATGTTCTGTTAAAGTAATAAAATGAGACCGAAGAGATCCCTGTGTTGAAACTGTGGCGTGGGTTTATAAAGGGCCTTAAATACAGACTTAGAAGCAAAAAAACTTAAAAGAATCCTAGTAAGACTCATCTGGGAAGTTAAAGGCACTCAGGACAGTGTATATTGTTTAAAAGATGTTACGGTCCTTGAGTTCTAAAACTCGTATCACCATGCACAATGTAGTCAGTGTTATGGTCCTGACTTTTGATTTGGAAAGGCCTATGAGATTGAAACAGTGATCTTGATTATGTCGCTTTTATATGAAATTTTATTTGCTTATTGTTTTATTGTATACTGAGTTAACTGAATAAATAGTAAGTTAAATAGAAATATCTAAGATCAGAGAAATTGCAGAACTCTCAACAGTAAACCAATCTAATATTTATAAATATTTTACATTGTTACCTATATTGCTTGTCACTTTGAAACTTTTTAAACCTATTTTATCTATTTCTTCATATATTTACTATTAGTATTTTTATTAGTAGTAACAGTAGGCCATTCCATTATATTGGTGTGTGTTTGCCCTTCCTCCATCGTAGATAAATTTACAGTTATAAATTGCATGTGTTTATATGCATGTCTAAAAGTTTGAGATATATTAAAAGTTGCTTCCTTTGTACTGAGGTTGCTTGTTTTATGAACCAGGGACATTGTAGCTTGAATTTGTGGATGGGAAGCTGATTATTTTTATCTATTGTTCTTGCTAGGGAAGGTGATAATTCAAGTACGGAGGAATGCCATGACTGAGGTAGCATGTAATTAATGTAATAGAAAGTAAAACTAAATCCATTTATCCTTCAGTTATAGTAAAGAGGTGCAAATTAGTTCTAATGAAAACATTTTTAACAAGACATGAATACAGGTGACCAAAGTAAAGATGGGAAAGTAGATAGCATAAATGATATAAATACAGAACCCGTGTGGTTTACTAATTCAGAGATTTAAAGGAGCCATTTTGACCAAATGTTAGAAAATAAAATATAAAATTCTACTGTCAGAAATGAAGCTATGTTGAAGAACTCAATGATAGCAAGGGGCACAAGGGAGTCTTCTGAGGTGCTAGAAATACTTGTATTCTGTATCTTTACCTGAGTGTTGTTACGTATGTGAAAAATCATTGAGCTGTAAAATAAGATTCGTGATCTGTATCATATGTTTTTACAGTTCAATGAAAAAATTCTGTATCTTTACCTGAGTGTTGTTACGTATGTGAAAAATCATTGAGCTGTAAAATAAGATTAGTGATCTGTATCATATGTTTTTACAGTTCAATGAAAAAAATTTTTTGAAAGGTTTTATTGCTGTTTTTGTCAGCAAAGACAAAAAAAGCCAGTTAGGCTGAAATAGCATTTAACAACTTTTAAAAACCTGCAATTCTCATACTCCTTGCTTCTGTGGAATCAATAATTTTGGGGTTTTTGATTGGATACTGAATTTTAACAAGTACTTTTTTTTTTTTTCCTTTTTGTCTTTTTTCGTGACCGGCAATGGATCGCAACCCTCAGTGCCGCCCCCGTACCGGACCGGGACCGGCCACGGGATCGCAACCCTCGGTGTTGCCCCCGCGCCTCGCTCAGCCAGTGAGCGGGAACCGGTCTGTATGTGGGATCCGAACCCTCGGCGGGAGCGCCACCGCGCTTCCCAAGCGGCGCACTATAGCAGTGCGCCACCGGGCTGGCCCATGAATTTTAACAAGTACTTTGTAATGTCTCCTTTGCTATGTTGAGATAAATTCATAGAAAATATAATTTAACTGCACCACAAATTTTTTAGGAAATCAATGTAATGTTCTAACTAATATAAAAGAGAAATAAAAGGAAAGTAAGTTATAATAAAATCTGTTTCAGTACGTAATGATCTGGTACAATTATACCAGAAGCGTAAGAAGATCAGATGTTTGCATCTATCTGTAAATAGAATCATTGTGTAATTTAGAGAGTATATCTGCTACCTATACAGGTATGTGCATTGGTGACTCATGCTGTGTTGCCATCTTACCAAAATTGTGGACATCCCTTGGTAAAGCTCTGAGCAAAGAATAATCAAGAATTTCTGAGTGGGAAAGATTTTTAGAGGTCATCCAGTAGGCCAAGCACTCATCTATCGCATCACGATATATTCCCTATTTACCATAATTTCAAACATCCTAACTGCTGTTATATGAATATTATTGCACATGTGATTAGTAGAGTGGGAAAGTGGGACTAGTACTATTATTGGTTTAAATTATGTATTCCTGTTATTGCAATTTATGGTCAAATTAATTTTACATTGTTGCACATTAGCTGTATGTCAACTAAAATCTCTAAGTTTTATAAAGTATTATTTATAAAGCATTATCTTTTGAAGCCATTGCTTTTGCCAGTCCAAACTAATATCTGTATTAAATTTCACTTTGTCACGTTCTCTACTTTGGGCTGTGGAAATCCTTTTTACTCCTTAATTTTTTCTTCCAGGTATTGTGATATTTGAAGAGATAAACTTTCTCAGTTATTCAAATGATTGTACTTTATCTCTTTTTTTGTAAACACAACCTATAGTAATCAATAGAAAACCAGTAGTAACCAATAGAAACGTCCTTTCTGTCATGAAAATGAGAATTGTGTGAATTATAGTTTAATAGCTGCAAAATTATAATTGTGCTATCATTCAACATTGCTTTCTCTTTATCTTTCCTCTTTAAATTTATTTAGTGCCTAAATTATTGGCATAATGTTAATCCTGTCCTATTGAATGCAGTAGTGACTAGCTATTGTTGGTTATTAAGTGGTTGAAATGTGCCCTGTGTGAGGAGCTCAATTTTTAATTTCTTTTAATTAAAATTAAAAAGCAAATGCAAATTCAGTTATTGGACAATATTTAAGTATGTTTGAAGCAACTTTGGATGTATAAATCTACTGTAAATTTTATGAAATATAAATACAGTTAAAATCTTTTCAAGGATATTAACATGTGAATTGAAGTGTCCTGTACGTGTAGTAAGCTGGATTTTAGAGACTTGGTATTAAAAAAAGGTAAAAGGTTGACTAATTAATACATTTTATTTCAATTACATATTGAAAAGATTTCTCCTGTTTCTTTTTGCCTTGTTAATGTGGATACCAGACAGTTTTAGTTTATGTATGTTACTTGAATTATATTTCTATTGGACAGTGCCATGCTAGACCCTTAAATACCAGTTGTGTGAAACATGATCTCTTCCCTTAGAATCTAGTTCCCAAATGGTAGGTATCTCTAAATGTCTCGAGTTGTGGTCCAGTAGATAGTTTGTGGCTGTTTATACCTGTTTGGTGAAAGATTCTGAGGCCACTCCTGGTTTTTGATTAAAGTGTTGTAATCCAGTCATCACCTTGTCTGCTGTGGATGGGAAAGGGATAATTGGGAGTTTGTATTTGCCTTTCCAAGTCCAGAGGCTTCTCATCTCAGTCCCCATGTGCTGTAGAGA